CCTGACATTACCCGACTAATTGCAAAAACTTTTACTCTTCTTGTATAGATTCAGCTGTGACTTAATGGACCTAGAGTTCAACTAGGCAAGTAGGGAACAAAGTGTATAAGAAAACTTCCAACAATGTGTTAGAATACAAGTCATTCCATCAAAGTGCTATTCATATACATTTTGCATACTGAAGAATCACAGTACTTTATTTCCTTGATCTTGTTCATCAGTGACGGAGGAAAGTGCTGAAAACAAAGAAATGTTTTGCAGCAAATAGAATACCTGCTGTGATGCTCTAAATAGGAAAGCAGGAACACAGAATTAAAAGTTTACAGATGATTATATAAAGATATTACCTTGAGCTAATATTAAGACAAATTAGGAAATACGGAATAATGGCATGGAAGTCTTTAAGTTACAAAGAGTTAAAAAGCTGTCCAGAATTAGCTAGTGAAAATGTTTACATCTCTGTGGATCTATGCAATTATAAGGTGTTCCAATTAAAAGATACTAACAATGTGAATGCAGTACAGTGGTTTCTGCAATTGGTAAACATGTCCTTCAAGAAACTAATTTTGATCTACCCTAGTACCTAAGGTAAACAGCCGTATTCAATGATAACCTGTGATTTTGGATTCTTTATTTCTGGCTTAGAACCCCAAATACCTAAACAAGGTCTGATGTTCAGAAAGCGTTGAATATCGACACCATGAAAAGGAGGCACCTTTAATAACAGGGCTGAGTCTCAAAACTTATGCAAAAAAACACGAGAATCAAAAATCACAAACAGTATTTCAATGTTTAAGTAGACAAACCCAAAAATGGCAGCAGGAGCCTAAATTTCATTTACAGCAGTTATTAGAAAGTAGAGAGGAAGTATTACCCAAAGAAAACAGATATAATCAGTTCAGACAACCATGTTTCACAATCCTTAAAATACATACTTAAGCTAGAAATATAAGCCAGTGATTACACAGTTAGAATGTAACAGTGAAGAGCAGCACTGTCACAGCACTGCTCCCAGCAGTACTTTCCCTGATTTGAATCAGGTTTTCTCCAGCTACCTAAGCTGGAAATACTCTCAGCTTCCCTTTCCAAAGGGGAAGATCAAAAACCTAAGAAAACAGAGGCTGAAAGACCTGCCAAAGCCTAGATCTAAGCTTTTTTTGTTTCTTTTCCCTTTGTTACAAACTTAAAATTTAGCTTGAAATATTGTTCTATTAATGCTCTAGATTTGAAGAACTGTGGGTAATTTATATGCAATACATATTACTCTCATACAAAGTTCTATCTTATTTTCATGTCTCCACGAAGTTTTCTTATACACTTTCAATAAATGCATAAACTTTTAATTTTGGTGCTTCAATGCACAATTACAAATATTCTAAAGTCTTCTAGACCCTAAGAGGCACCTTTTTAGAGACGATGCCTTTCTAAGAGGCTGAGGAGCCCCATCTGCTGGTAGAGCGTTACTCTAGAGAATTACACCCCTGAGCCAAGAACTGCTTTTTTTCCAACTGTACCACAAAAACCAAAAAACTCAACACCTAATAGCAAGTACTTTTAACAAAAAATTAAACTAAAAACAAACCTCTAAAACAGTTCATTCCTTCCTAAATATGCAAGATACTTATACAAACTGCTTCATATATTTCCTGACACTAAGCTGTTCTTCAGTCAACAAAAGCTGAAAACATCAACACATTTTTTTGCAAACATTTTACAACGACTTACATTGATTCATAAAGATGGTAAAGTGCATGTTGGTTAATCTGGGAGAACATAAAAGGATGACTGTTCTTTTCCCCTAGTTTAAACAGGACACATACACATGCTTTATAAGTAAGAAACCATATAATCAGTTCTATATATATATATTTTATGTGTCAGATATGGGCAATTTAGTCATAGTAATTTAGATGGGAATAAAGAAAGTAAGATCACCAAATTAAGATAACTAAGCGAAGTATTTCTTCCTTCTCCATGGGGGGAAAAAAAAAAAAAAAGTTATTTCCCAAAAAGAAAAAATTCTTAGTTTGTGCTGAAAAATTAAAGAGGAAAATATTTACGCATGCTGGAACAGACAGAAGATGTGAAACTGTTTGGCTAGACACTACAAAAATTGCATATTACTAGAGATCCTTTTATTAAAGCACAACTTAAAACTATCACAGTCAGATATGCTCAGAGAAGAACTCTCAGTTCTGAGAAATCTCCACTAATATTGGAATCTTCAAATGATAAATGTCTTAATGTAGAAACTGAATGCAAGGACTGAATCCTCGATATTTACCCATAAAAATAATCTGTCACATGAATAATGGAAAGCAGAGAGTTTTGAGGCTCTGGATTGCCTACTCTTTGATCATTCAGGGACTCTAGGCTTCTAACTGTGCTTTGAGTTTTATCCAAGTCAGATGTTCCAAGTAAATAATGCAAACATCCTGAGTGTCTGCATATTCCCATTAAAAGAAAAGAGAACACACTTGCACTGCCTGGCTTTAAACTAGCAATTCCAAACAGGTGTTTTTGGAAGAAAACAACAAAAAAAAAATGTAAACTCTGGGAAAGTATGGGATTAGAAAAAAAAAAAAAAAAAAAAAATTACATCCACATCTGCATTTTCAATCAGTTGGTTCAGGCTCTCACCAGAAAATGGAAACTTCAGGCAATGATAGACAGCAAAAAAATCCCCAGAAAATAAACTACTGCCATGATGGTCCTTAAGAGATTTATGGGCTCATGACCCCAGGAAGTTAGTAAAACTAGTTTCAGAACATCAAGTCCATACTTAATCTAACCATGCCCTCTACTGGCCCAAAAGGGACTGGTCTAGAGATGCTACTGCTCATTGATTTCGTTATGAAGTAACTCTAAGAACCATTTATAGGCATTTCTCTGCAGGCTACCTTTCAGAATACAGAACTGTGTTTTAATATACTTTGTAACGGACTTTGAAGAGTTGTCTGCATTATTTATATTAAATTACCATGGTTTTCAGCACCTAAAGCAATTAGTTTTCTTAAAAAACAGCTTTACTGTTAAACACTGCTTCCAATGAGGGGTGTTAACACTATCCTACAAAAAGAACATAATCTTTCTTTCTGCTTCGACTACAAATCAGGCTATTATTTCTATTTTTTAAATAATTTTACATTGCAATAACTTTAATTTTAGATTGCTTCCCAAATTTAACATGCCAATAATTTCACTTATCAGTAAAATGAGGTTCTGGGATAGTAAACAAACATTTAACATATTGGTGTGACAGTTTAAGACAAAGTCAAATTCAGACATATTTAAGTCAGAGGTGCTTATAGTCTTGTACAATCCAAGTGTAAACCTCTGGCTAACCAAAAACATCAGCACTTTTTGCATACCTTGGTCATTTCCTTCTAAATCAGTAGAAGCCAAGATCTAACTTACTCAATGTACACTTGTAAAGAAAAAGAAAGGCATGTTTTTTCCTCCATATAATCTTTAAGATAAAGATATCAAAAAAACTTGGGAATGAAGATGAAGGAGGAATTACCTACAGTTCAAACTGTGCAGACTTTAATGATGTGATAGGTTATGCTGACCACAGAAATCAGTGAAGTTATAACTCAAGAGAGTAAAAGATGAGCATCTAAGGGGAGTAAATTTTATTCTTGCTATAGATCTGGGTTTTTCTCTTCTGTGAGCATCAGTGCTTTAACAGATATTAAGGAGAGCAAAAGAGAAAAAAAAAAAAAAAAAAGAAAAAACGGTCCAAGATTGAAGAGCATCACTGCTTCAAAGATGGAAAGTCAGGACATATTTCACAGGGCCCCATAGCAAAACTGAGGAAAGAGGAAAGCAAAGAAAAAAGAATGCTAAGATAAGAAAAATGCAAAAACCAAAGTAAATGAAACCCAATTCTCCACTACAAAGTAAATGTCAAAAAAGTAAAAAAAAAAAAAAAAAAAAAAAAAAAAAAAAAAAATCATCTCAATTTTGGTAAGAGAATTTAAGAATTTTTTCCTACAAGAAATCATAGTTCATATTCAGTTTTAAAGTTCCCTCCTCTCCTTTGGCTTTATATGTATGCTGATACAAAGGGTGTTCTTCCTGCTTCTTAGGAAGATTTACTTAAACCCCTAAATTTCAGAACCAAGTTTTACAACAATTGCATGGTGCTATGTCAAACACACGTTAGCTACAATAAAGCATGCCTTACACCAGAAGTGACACTTTCTGTGTGCTCTTATCAAAACTACATTCCTGTGTAAGCCTACTTCCAAAGGCTATTATTTGAAACCAGAGGTGGCATTAGTCTATATGTAGGAAAGCAGACACAATTTTTTTTTATTACTTTTTGTTAAAATACAAGCAAGATTCATTGGACTGACTAAATTAACAAAGAACTGAAGCCAAGTTCACTAAAGCTAGAAGGAAAATACACTTCAAGTATTGAGCAATTAACTCTTGAAACAAAGTGGGAAGACTCCTTAGATATGACTGGACACCTTTCTGAGATCCAATACCTGCCGCACTCGTCCAGAGGAAAACCCATCCAACCTGACATACCTCTCCCACCAGTAGTCACTTAGGCCTGTCAGAAAAGTAAAACATTATTCTAGTGTTACTAGGCAGTTGTTTAGTTACCTAAGGCAGAATCTGTATCCAGACCAGAGTGCTTACCATCATTGTGACATTAAAGTAGGAAATAACTAAAAACTAACATTAATACAGATTATGAGACATGACTTAGTAGAAATCTAACTTCTTAAGATCTAAATGATCTTAATGTCTAATAAAACAAAAACAAGCCCCCCAACATTCCAAGTTTATGAAACTGAGTGTAGGTATGAAGGATTACACTGCAAGTTTATAACAGGATCTTGCACTTCAAAGTATGTCCTTGAATTCTGAATTCATTGGAACTGTTAACCACACGCAAGCAAGGATGTTATTTCCAGAAGACTATTATTTAAGACAGTATTTTTAAGTTTGATGATTGCTCTGCAAAGTATCTTGTTTTACATTACCTTGACTGTTTTGTCCATAGAAGCTGAGAGAAGCATGTGACTTTGTTCTCGCACAGGACACCACTGGATTTCATTAACAGGGCCACTGTGTTTAGTCATGTAAAATATTAATCTTTTGGGGACTTCAGTTAATTTATATTTGGATCCCAAGTATGGCTTAATTAATTCAGAGATCTTTCTTGAAGTCTGCTCTCCTGATAGGCCAAGCTTAACATCACAACCTGAGGTATCTTTCTCATCAGATTCTTTATTTTCAGGCATGCTGGAATTTTCTTGACGCAATCTTTTAGGGATATATGGTCTGATTCCTTTTATGGCAGTAGTACTGTCTTTATGCATTCTCTTCTGGGAAATGCCACTTCCAGAGCTCCTTGAAGAACTTGCTGGTTTTTCATAGTTTTTATTGTACATGCATAATGCAGTATGGTCAGAGTACGCTCTCCTACAATAAGGAGATGTCAAATCAGTGTTGTTATTCTGTGCATAATGCTCAGGGGGATCTTCACAAAGAGTGCTTGTGTCAGAGCTGTCAGTGTCCTCAGGAGGCTGTATTTCATATGTAGGTTTCGTACCCGAACTACCAGGTGCAAAGTTCTGCACACAATTCACAGAAGAACTTGGTCGGCTTGTTTGTCTGCTAGAAGTATCGGGGACTTCAGTCTTGCCAGTTTCTGTCTCAGAGTCTGAATCATCATAAGCAACCAGTGATGAACTCATGACGGCTAGACACAGCAGACTCCAGAAATCTCAGTGCTGGAATCCTCCAAAATTATGATCTACAATAAAGAATTGATTATTCAGAGCACAATTTATTACAAAGTCTACAATTTCAATAACTTAAGGATACAAAAATGTTTTTCTTAACAAAAAAGCCACAAATTTTATTCCTGCTTATTAATTAAATTTATTTCATTATTATAACACATCCGTACATTCCATTACTCATCACTATTTGCCTGCAAGTTCTGTGCATACATTTTTAATGCATTGCAGAGATGTATTCACATATGGTAAAACAACGAAAATGAACACGAGAAGGAAAATAAACTTGCAAGGTAAGTACACAAACCACTTTAACCTTACTAGCAGTAGCACTTCTACACACACACAAAAGAGAGCAATTAATTATGCAGTGTTTTGGTATCTACATTTATAAGAACAAACACTACAACTATTCTGGAGTCAGGCTAACAATATTTACTTCTTAATAGTGCCAATGACTTGGAAAAACTATGAAGGGGTTCAATTGGCAACTAAAAAAAGTAAATTTTTTTAATTTTAAAAATATTTTTGACCCATTCAGCAGTCTTCTAGTATGAGGAAAACCTTCTAACTAAATCCACAGAGTAAGTTCCACATAACCTTTAGTTTTACATAACTGACTTATGCCTGAATTGACTATTCACATTTACTTACAGAAAAAACAAAAAGCATAGATACCTTTACAGTGGAATACATTTTTTCAAAGTGTCTGTGAGAAAAATCTCACATTGAGACTGTGTATGTAACGCGCTGAATAACTCGCCACTGTAACAATCTCACCAAGCTTTTTCCAATAATTTGGATGTACAGGGTCAACTACATTCAAATAATTAATGCATCTGCAAAAACAATCTTTCAACCTCTGCTGTTTACAGTCCAAAAGTACTGCTATCCTTCAACTAAGATTAAGAGTGATTAAATGGGACTTTTTATTCCTGTTTTGTTTCACTGCCCAGCTGTTAGCACTCATTATGCTAAAGTGATTTAGCCCATAACACTTTCAGATCAGCTGCTGAAATTTTTGGTTTAGGTCAGTGAAGAAACTGTCCTCAAAAGCACCTTGATTAAAATAAGAATGCTGTATGAATGTCGGTATTGACCTAAACATTTGCAGATTTGACACCAGAAGTGTAGATCCCACAAATACTACCACAGAAGCAGTACTCTGGAACTTGTACAGACTACTCATTTAACTCCAGAATTAGATTTGTTTGAAGTAAAACAAGCAAGTTTCATCTAAGCTACACAAGTGTTACATTATATGCTATGTAATGAAATTACCAAGCACAGAACCAGAAAATAGGTTCCCATTGAAACGTACACATTCATCATCACAGATTCTTTCCGAGATAAGTCTTGAAGAGGTTTAACTGCAACAAGGTGACTAACACCTTAGCCATAAAAGCATCATGATCTCCCTCTAGAGGACATTTTGTCTTTAGCTGAAGTTTATGGTATCTATAAGTTACAGCAACTAAAAGCAATGAAAGATTTCTTTTTTTCAACACTACAGCTTCATTTATTAAACAAGCATTTCACTTAAACAGTATCAAGGGGAAAAAAATGAAGTAGTGTTTCAGGAAAACCTAACTAACAAATTTAAAAAAAAGGTAAACTGAAGTTTTCAGCAGTGAACTTAAACCTCTTATCAAATAAATAGTAACTCTGAAGGACTGCACTTCAGTAATTGCAACAGCTGGTTGCAGTTTGTACTGTAGGGATGGAAAGAGGCCCCAGCCCAAACGCATCATATTCAAAGAACAAACACAGTAAGAAGTTGACTTCTGGCTAAAAGCTATAAATAAAGATACACAAGTGGATGTGTTTTGACTTCAAAGGTACTTTACTTATTTTAACACCAAAAAAAAA